CTCGGTGCCATCGACGCGACACCCGCGGAGACGGCAGTAGATCCTGTTTCGGACGAAGAATACACACCATCCGTCGCTGCAGACGACGTGAGCGAGCCAGTCGAGTCAGTCGAGGATGCTTCTCCTAGGTCTAGTGCCGTTGGGTCAGAGACCGCTGAGGCATTCGCGGGGGGCATTCCGCCTCATCCAGACGACGACAAGACGCTAATAGAGCTTGCCTACGATGGTGATGAAGCAAGAATAGCGGAAGACCCTACCATGCTCAAGAAAGCTGCGTTCGAGGAACCGCATATTCTAACACATTATCCCAAGAACCCCTTTTGTCCAGTTTGTCAAATCTCGAAGTCAACTTCTAAGAGAGTCTCACGCAAACCTGATGTCAAAGATGACGACTTCATAGACCCACCAAAAGGTCCATATGAACAGTTGTCTACCGACGACGTCATAATGGCAAAAGGAGAGGACTTCGCCGGCAAAGGTGTGGGTGGGGTGAAGGCATTTCATGTAGTCCGAGACACCTACTCGGGTGCTAGAATAGCGTACCCCATGAGTAAGCGTGATGCCAGTACCCACTCCAAGAACTTCCGCCATTTTCTAGGCCTGAAGGCTAACGAGGTAGCTACACGCGTCCTTGTTAAGATGGACGAGGCTGGAGAGTTGGAACAGGCTGCGCATGAAGTTGGGTTGATTCCGGAAACCTCCTTGCCGAACAGATGGCCCCATAACGCCATGATGGAAAGAGACATCCGAGAAGAAAAGGAGTGCTGCAGAGCAATCCATCTCCAATCTGGGTTGCCATATTCCTTTCACACCCACTCATATCCCTTTGCATGTCTTTCCATGAGTTTTGACAGACCGTCAGCCTTGGAACCCGCAAAGACACAATGGGAAGCGCTCACTCGCAAGCCCTTTGACGGCATGAGGCATTCATTTGGTCAATTGATGTACTACCGTGATAAGCGGATGTCTAAACGCACCTTAGAGCCTAACATGTCCCCATGTTTGTTCTTAGGTTGGCGAATGGATGCTGGTTTTCGGTACCGCTATGTGGTTCGTGTTCTTGACTACATGGATTACAAAGTTAGTGAACACGTCAATGTCCAAGAAGTCCCCGAAGCTGAGATTTATGTTGAAGATGGTCCTCCATGTTTTCCAATGGCCTCTGTTAAGTTAGCGCATTTGAAGGGAGGTTCTTTAGGAGTTCTCGACGATCTTGCACGTCTTGACATGCCGGATATCCCCATGAAGGAGATCCCTTTCGGACTGAAGGGAGCCGACGCCATACCACCAACTCCCACGGACCCTAAAACCAGGGGGGTGTACATCACTTTGGACCGCATCATTCGGTTTAGCGAAACCCCAGGGTGCAAAGCGTGTGAGAAGAAAACACGATACCACACGCCTGCATGCAGGAAACGTTTTGCCAAACTTGTTGACGAAGAAAGACGCGACCTTCTTGCCAAAAGGAAGGAAGGCATCACCGTGGAGGAGCTTCCACCACGGGAGCCCGAGACCGCGCCGCCGACGGATTCATCCGAAAGCGTCACCGAGGATGAGCCACACGTCATCGATGCGACTCCGACTGTGATATCGGGGCTGTCACTCTCGCCACATACCACCTACAGGACACAACTCATCCACACTCGCCCTGAGAGTGGAGTCCCGGTGTTTGGCATGCCATCGACAGCACAACTAGCTCAAATTTCTAAGTCTAAAAAGAAGAAGAAGAAGAAACCGCGTAAGGCGCGGCCTGGCCGATGCATGTTCGAGTTTGCGCGTGCCTCGGATTCGCAAATGCACGAGACTTTTCTGGAGATGGGAATTCCCCACATTGCCCTTTCAAAAGAGCACCTCGATCTAGACGATCCCCAGATGCAAGCACAGTTGCACCACCATATAAGCGCCTGTGATGAGATTCCTGATTTATGGGCCTCAATCCCTTGCACATCAGGGTCTCCTTGGCAAAGGGTAAATCGCATGAAAGGGGGGCTCAGTTTCATGAAAAGGCATGCACTTCAGGTCAAGGAGTCTAAACGTTTATTTGCTGAATTCGCTAAGTCTGCAGAGCTCGTTTTAGCTCGAGGAGGCACTGTCACCTTCGAGTGGCCTAAAGGGTGTGAAAGTTGGCAACGCACAGACGTAAAACATTTCTTTGATAGCCACCCCGAGTTTGTTCCAGTCGAATTTGACGGGTGTGCTGTTGGTGTGAAATCCACTAAAGGCAGACCCATTAAAAAGAGGTGGCGCCTCATGACCACCAGCAGGGCTATCGTCGACATGTTCTCGCAGTTCCAATGCACCCATAAACCCCACGAACATGATCAAGCGGTCGGGTCGCAGACAGCTCGTACTGCATTTTACCCAAGACAGATGACCATCCAAATTGCAAAGGCCCTATACCCTAACATGTCCTTTTCCCATCATGCCCCAGCCATGCCATGTTTTTCATGTACCCATGAACATGAGCACAGGGACAAGGAGCAGACACTGAAACATGTGTCAGCACTGTCGGGGATCGACGCTATGGCCATCGCAGTTGAGACAGATGACACTGTCGGGCAAATGGTAGAGAGTTTAATGGATATCAGTGCTCTTATGCACGAGGCCTACCAGATCCCCAAGACCGAAGATGGTAAAGATCAGGTAGCAGCTCTGGTCACCAAACTCCTAAGCCGTACCGAGATGCTCAGTGATCCTGAAGCCTTGCAAAAGGCTAAGGACGAGGCAGCCGATTTGGTTAACGAAGGTACTTGGGAGTATGAATCCGTTAGGGAAAAGGAGCACGTCCGTGCTGAGGCTAAGGCTTCTGGAGTCTCCGTCCATTTCGGTAAACTAATGACCATAGCTTCCATTAAATTTTACGAGCTGGCAAAAGAGTTGCAGAAAAAGAAAGGTAGGATTGTCTACCGAGGTGACTGCGCAAAGGACGAGCATGGCGCAGCAGCCGTCTATGAGGAATTAGGCGCAAACCCGACTTCGGTACAAGGGCTGAACGCTTGCCTCGCCTACGGGTCACTACCTGGTAACCTGTGCACCGCCGCGGATGCGGTGAAAGCATATGTGCAAGCGACACTGAAGTCCAAGTATAAAACTTGGATTGAATTACCACCTGAACTTCGACCCGCGTGGTGGAAGAACAAATTTGTTCAACCAGTGGTCCTTCTCGTCAAGGCGCTGTACGGACATCCCGACGCAGGAGGGATGTGGGAACAGCATCTGAAGGGCATTCTTAAGAAAATGGGTGGCGAAGAAATCCCAGAGTTCCCCGGTAACTTCTGGTTTTCTGGTCCTCGTTTAATGTTATCCACATACGTTGACGACCTCACTTTGGCAGGCCCACGGGAGAACCACCAAAAGTTTTGGTCAGAACTCACGAATGTTGTTAACGTTGAACCACCCAAGCCTATTTACAGAATGCTAGGAAGGAACCATATATACGCGGTAGTCCCAGACTCAGGAAACACCGAAACCGCTGCTTTGCGCGGTAGTGCTGACGCCCTAATCTTCGACATGAAAGATTACGCGCAGCAAACCATCGACCTCTACAAGTCGGTGGCCGGTGTCGATAAGATAAAGTCAGCCCAGACGCCATTCCTCGCCGACGGCACATTTACCACGACTGATGAGGAGTCGCCCGGAGAGCTCGCACCAAAGGCATGCTCTATCCTGATGAAAGCCCTTTGGCTTGCCAGGTTAGCACGGCCTGATATACTGAAGCCGATCAACGATCTAGCCACAAAGGTGCAGAAGTGGACTCGTGTGCACGATAAAAAGCTGCTACGGCTCATTCAGTACCTCCAGCACTCACTAGAATATAGATTAACCGCCGTCTGTGGCGATGATGCTAGTAAGCTGTGGCTAGAACTTTTCGTAGACGCCGACTTTGGTGGGGACCAACATGACGTGAAGTCGACCTCAGGGGGGTACTTAGTACTTAAGGGCCCTAACACCCACTATCCTCTAGCATGGGTGTCAAAACGGCAGACCTCCACGTCAAGATCCACTACAGAATCGGAAGTAGTCTTGGCCTATTCGTTGTACCAAGAAGGACTACCTTCACTACAACTATGGGATAAACTTCTTGGGCGGGATGTTAACCTCGTCATACAGGAAGATAACCAAGCCACGATTCTTGTAGTAAGGAAGGGCTTCTCCCCTAAGCTACGACACATCAGCCGAACACATAAGATAAACCTCAGTTCCATAAAGGAATGCATCGACGACCCATCTGTCGAAATTAAGTACATCGATACGAATGAACAAGCTGCAGACATTTTTACCAAAGCGTTGCCACCACAAAAGTGGTTCAAAGCGCTATGCTTGCTTGGCATCCGTACAGACTTAAAGTGCTTAGTCCCATCTAAGACAGATAGGAGCCTTCCGAGCAGTTCGAAGCCTTCGTAGGTCGTCGAAACCGCTGCCACCCGGCGCGGTAATTCGTGCATGTACAAAGGAATGCTGCCCCAAAACGGGGAGGGGGGAGTCATTTTCTGTGAACCCCTAGTATGTAACAGCATTCACTACATGTCTACTAGTAGCTACGGTTCACACATCACATGTACAATACATGTGCCGACCGTGGCTCATGGCTCAAGGAAAAGGAGCGCTCCAGCTGCTTTTCCACAGGGCACCGTGTTTTCCGGGCTGTGTCCGGATACACCTTCGCATTTGCTTTCGCGCTCTTTCGCTTGCACTTCGCCGTTCGTTCGATTGCCGCCGTGCTTCGCTCGTTCGGTCGTTTGCCAATCACGGGGTCTCGTCCTTCAGACTCGCCTCGTGTAATAATAAACATAGACCGTGCATCCAGGGATCTAGCCTACTTCTTTTACCACCTCCCGGTTGAAAGAATTGCTTGGGCGTTTCCCTACGCCCCACCTGGTTTGTACACTCAATTATGTTGGAATGCATTTGATCAACGCTTGAAGACCTTTTGTTTTGTTCCATGTTGGAGCGTGTTGGGGAGATTTGCGTGTCGATTTCGTCCTGGGTTGAAATCTCAGGGCGCAACAATCCATCCGCACACTTGGCTGCAATGAGCAGATGAGTGTTTACAGCGCGACATGCCTTGGAGGATTGCTTTCTATTTCTGCTGTTCAGTTCTCAAAAGCACACCATTCTTGATCAGTTGTTTTTTTACATAGCTCATATATAGGCGGTCTCTTCTTAACTCTGTCGTGCAAGTCCTTGTGTGAAAGCAAGTTGAAATGAGATTCCACCTGAGTCAAGACAAACATCTCACAGAGAAAACACTCATCTATCCTTGAACTTCTTAAGAATGCAAGCTACTTGCCCTGCTCAGTTATGCAACGTTTGTCTTGGCCAAAAACTGATAAATTATTGTTTGAGTCCTTGGTTCTGCTGTGCACCGGGTGCTATGCGGGGACGAGAAAACGTGCAGAGTTGCTGGCTGGGTCACTGGAAGGTGCTGAACTCCCCAATGACAACTGCGTCCAGGTTGACATGCACAGTACAGGTCGAGGGGCTGTGCATGTAGTACCTTTGGTTCCTGGTATTAATTTGCTTGTTTGGTACCTGATTTGGTACTTTATCTTCCGGCGTATGTATGGAGTGATGGAGTTTGCGATCGCTTCCTTGCGATATGTGTGATGTGATGGAGTTTGTGGTTGATTCGTTGTGGTTCATGCGATGATTCGGCTTGTGACTCGTGCGCACTCTCCTTCTCACCCTCTCTCTTTTTGCTCCCCCTCTCTCAGCCTACCTATGTTTCATTCAAGCACAGCGTTGCTTTTGAACAAGCTCATGCAGATAATTTTCCAATGCACTGACGTGTAGACACACACATCCGTATTTTTCCTTTGAGGCTGTATCTTGAAGATCTGGAAGTTGGCCAATGGTTTGAAAGCTACTTCCCGGCAGTACCATGAAGGACTGGCTGAACTGGGGGCGGACTATCGACACTTCTGGAAGCATGTTGAGTAACAGCGTTGCCATTGGAGACAACAAAGTACAGAAGCACCAAGGTGCTAGAATATCACAGTCCTCAAAAGTTATCATCATCATCATCATCATCATCATCGCAGTAGATATGTTGATCATTCTTCCTTTTGACATGAATCTCACGATATGAATCTCCACGGCGCATCGGCAGTCATTTCTGTCAGAGTGTTTTTGAAAGATTTTGTCGACTGTCCACCTGAGGCTGGTCCACCCGCGTGCAAGGTGCTGGCACCGCGCGTTTTCGGGAGGTCCTGTGTCAGTCGAAACGCACCTTCGGCCTAGCGGAGATTCTGCGCCACTTGGCAGAGCGGAGGCTTTTGAGATTTCCCTTTGACTTTTGCGGAAAAGGTGTGGTCATTTGGATATGCAAGACAGTTCCAGATCACCTCTTTTTGGTTCCTACTTTGATTTGCTCCGATTTTTGCTTATACATCTCGTTTGAACATGAGACGCTTGTTGATTGTCCTGGGTGCGAACATATTCTATCAGTTTCTCAGCTACTTGTATCATGAATTTTAATAGGTTTTTCTTACTTGCATTAAAATTCATGATGGATGATACGGTTGCTCTCTGACTCGGGGGTCTAACACTCGCATGACAGTGCTCAAATAACCCATGTTGATGTGACAACTGAGCTACTGTCCACTGGCAGCAATGGCAGCTGACCTACTGTTCAACTGACCTCACATCCTGACAGAAGTTCAGTACTCATTGTTTCACAAGGCTACTTGATGGGTCTTTCTCCTCATACACTGCCAGCCCTTGGGCTTGCCTTCTTGGAGGACCGTCAGGGGTGCTGGAGTGACAACTAAAGAGTGACCCTTCAGTGACCCTTCAGATGTGAAGAATGAGTGTTTCACTGGCCAAACTGGGTGACACCATTGCTCAACCTTTGTGGATTTCTTTTGACTCCTGATTGCGCCATCGAGTTTGATGACCATCCATGGATTCCCACGAAATCTCGCCAGAATCGTTCTTTTTGATGTCCGCCAACAAGGCACAAGCCTGCATGTTGAATTGTCACAGTCAATCAGGATGCAGTGGAGATGATTTCGCCATCTATGGAGCATCTTGGCTGAGAATGAAGACCCCTTTTCCCCAAGGCCTCCTCAGCAAAAAGGGCTCGATCACCTTAGGAGCGATAGTACTAATAGTACAAGTGATCCAGAGGTAAAGTTGGGATATGAAAAGAAGAGCAAATCGTTTTGCCTCAAAAGACACATGGCCTAAGTAGATGTATTCCCCCATGGCCTAACTAGCTGTTTACATGTCTACATTCGTTTAGTACCATAAATGTTCATCCACTTCGTAAGTGAGCTGGTAGCCTGAAACACTAAATTAAACATAGGTTTGCGGATCTTCCTAAGGTTCATTTTCCAGCTGACCCTTCTAGGGAGTGAATCAGCTCTGGAATCAGCTTCCTGGGTCCTGGATCTTTTGGCCACGACTTGTCGTTCTTTTCGGAGCGAACGACCCGACGTTCCTTGGTTGGAAGCGCTCGAGTCGAGGAAGCGCCTTCTCCAAGCCCAAGAGGTCGAACAGCTTTTGCGGCAGAGCTTCCAACGTTGCCAGGCCGGTCCGGCAGAGCGGAGACCTGAGCAGAGACCCGGGACGATTTGTTGAGGTCGAAGAAAAGCGAGCCATGTGAGCCATGCCTTTTTTGATCGTGCAGAACATAGTGACCTAGTATCACCTGGTAAATGACCTTAGTCTGTAAAGTATCACCTGGTACATAACCTAGTAGCTCTTGGCTTCTGAACGAGAACCTCTCCTCCGTCGTGGTCAACAAACTCATTGTGGCAGTGCTCCAGCTTTGCAGGTGCTCATTATGCCTACATTACCACGACCTGCCCTTAGTACACTGAATGGGTCAATGCTTCAACAAAGGATTCAAGATGATTCAAGATTTGTTTCCTTTTTGACTCTGCACTCTAGTGCGGTCAGATCATCAGTTCCCCAAGGTCTCGCTTGGGAGTAACTGATGATTTATGTATGCTGACAGGGCTTTCCAGCGAAGCCAGTCAATGACCAACTAGCATGTTGCAACCACCGATTGCACTATTGTTGTCGGGATTTGTGCTTGTATATACTTGTATGGAGTGTATGAGGTGTTGTACGTCCTGGCAAGGTGTTGCCAGACTCAGGCAGCTTGAGGATGTGGTTGGTATTCATTGCCGGCTGTCAAGCTGCAAGTTCGCCAAGGACATGGTCTTAGACACGATGAACCACTTCTGAGGGTGTTTGACAGCTGCTTCACATCAATTTGGACTCTTGGCTGATTTCAATACCAGAGGTCTTGAGTTGAACGCCACCAGCTCTGTCATCAGCTGAGCCCAAGAAGATATGCTTCTTCCTGGCTTTTGAACCAAAATAAACACGTAGAACCCCAGCATCCTCTCGTTCCAGAACCGCCCAGCTCATGTGGATACTCCCAGACACTGGACTCCTACCGATCTACCGCGTGCTTTGCGGCGTGCGCTTGGCCGCCCTAGGAACGCCATGGAATTCCCCTCCACCGCTGTGCCCTTAGGGCTCCACGCTGGAGCGCCCGTCGGAGTGCAGATCGTGTCGTTGCCGAACAACGACGAGCTGACCATCTCCATCGCGCAGAAGCTCCACGCCGCGTGCGTGGCGCGCTGCGAGACGCCTGGGGCGAACGAGCGTTAAAAAGACACGCTGCACGAAGCGCGAAGGCTTCAGGGAGAGGTTGAAAAGGATGGAGGGGTTCGATGTTTGGGACAGTTCTGTGGATGGTTGAATCAGAATCTGTTGGTGGTTGAAACATGCGCAGATCGGACGGATCGAGTAGCCTTTCTTGCAAATGTTTGGCAATTACTTGGTGGCACTGGGCAGTCTCAATTAAAGAGCCTGTTCTGGAGGACTTTGAAGAACTTCCACCACACGCGCATCTTTGTGTAGCAGGCCATACCAGCTTGTAGCTTCTAACTTCTAACTAGCATTTCATCCCGTTCAGTCGGTTTACTTCAACTCCTCAATGTTGTTTCACAGTGGGCGAACATGCATCACTGATGGACTAATGGTTGCTTCTCGGAGGTCCCTGGAATCAAAGCTGGGGACTATTCTTCATTCATCGTGAAGGCGGAGGACCCACTGGACTCCACTGGTCCGAAATTAGGGCATGTGGCATGTGTTTATGTTTTTCCAGACAGCTTGTATGATCCAGAGGTTGGGAAGTCAGTCTTGGAGGGCACTGAAGATTGGCAACTCGTGAATCCAGGTGTGGGACATTTTGCCAAGAAACCAGCGAGAAGCTTTTTTGTTCACTTTGGGGGTCCCCCACTTTTCGTCGACTCACTCCACTGGTGACCAATGGTGAGACCGAGATCCGCGCGAGACCAGGACCTGCGGAGAACTCGCGAGAGGCATGTTGAGACTTATATAATTTGGTGCATTCATGTGTTGTTGTCATGCAAAGAAATGGATTACAGATGTTTTAGCCCTTTGACCGTTTGCATGATCGATCCATTGTTCTATGTTCACACGTATATAATTGCATCTAATTGCTTATAGCATCCTAGCTATAGCCCTTGTTTCGGGTCTGTGGCATTTGACAGGAGATACATAAGAGCGCACTTTCAAGCTGGCGGGTCGTCGACGCACCCGTTGTTCAGCTTGTGAGGTGGTACTTTGCCGGGTTCTTGCTGTGATTGGTGGCCGGGAGGCGTCGCACTCTACTGAAACTGATCGATCGCGCCATTGTCTCAAGGGTCAGACTGCCACGAACACGGTCCGCCAAGGATCCGGTCAACGATCCGCAAGCAGTTTGACGTGTTTACTACTCTTTGATGTTTCTTGCATCATGTTACTCTTGACTCATCAATTTATGTGTGACCCAAACTCCCCGTCTTGCGTGTGACCGGGTTCCGGCACACCCCGGTCTTGAGGCCGAGCTCCGGCGGTGTGAGTGCGCTGATTGCGTGCAGGTGATGCGGTGATGCGTCATGTATTTTTGGGGACTCGAGTGGGATGAAACTGATGAAACCGAAAGATTGTGAGTGCAGATGCTAAGCTTTAGATGTCGTGAATGTGACCATTCTCCACTCTTCATCTATTTGGATCTGTTTTGAGTCCGGAACAAGTGTTGTTTTTGTCCTGCCACTATGGAAGGCTTAGCGACAACCCTTCGACCGCTCGGCGATGTCAAATCTCTTTACGGATCTCCAAAACACAGCTGGCACAGGACGCTCAATGAAGAGATGCCCCACCCGTTTGAACATGTGCAGTCATCTCCTTTCTTGGTTGAAAGTTGACTTCACATTAAATCAGCAGCCAGAGAGGTACACGGAAGGCTGAATCTGAAGTGAGTATGTAATTTTTTTCGGTTTGATACAGGGAGGTCACTCATTTACGCTTGCAAAGCCTCCGGTTCAACGAGATTTACAGATGACCTGCTGATTATTTGGGTATGTATGCATACTGTATGCATTTTAATAGTGAGATCCCCAACCGATGAGTTTTGGTCTATTTTCCTGCTTCCAGGGGGTGGAACTGGGAGATCTCTCTATTTCAAGACACGCCCAACGTGACACGAGAGATGCATCCTTCCACGTGCTCGGCTTTGTACAGCCATGATTTGGAACCCATCATTGAGCTTCTATTCCTCTTGGGAAGCTCATTCATTGCTCTCTCTCTCTCTCTTGCAGGCCAATGGGGAGGCGGTGCAGTTTCTTTCCCGTCGCAGTCGCACTCCCAGACACGACACGAAGGGCTTGGGGGGAGGGAACCGAGGCAACCGAGGGAACTCGGGGATTCAGAGTCGTCACCGTATGACGTACCGAGAATAGATCCGTAATGAATAGATCTTACATCAAGAAGGGGGCTTATATATATGGTTATATGGTGGTGAATGCATCTTGGATGTTGAAGGCAAACACCTGTCGTGAATCTGTGTTTACCATGAACCTTGGACACAGCATGGTCCGACGACGAGTGCATGTGCAAAGCACCGTGTTTGCCGTACCCTCCGGCAGCTTTTCGGGCTCGTAGCCCCCTTCATGAAGCTTAGAGCCACCAAGAATGGATGCCCGAAGGACGTATGCCAGGTGATAGCAAAACTCAATGAGCATGGGGAGTCAGACAAGTTCCAAAAAAGGCTGATATAGCCAGGCCAGACACCAGACACCTCAGTTGTCCAAGCTATTAAGCTACCATGTGCTAGAAGATCATGTCTCCGATGGTAGGTGGCCAACGGGATCCATTCGCTTCGGAGTCTGGAACGGCGCCCGACCTTCCCACTTCGCTTCCTAAACATTAGAGCAAGGCAATAAGGCCATCATATCGCATGAGTCACCCAATCCCTTTGTGGGTGAACCTCTTGAAGACCACTCCAAAGCCCCTCTGTCCGCCAGTTGTGCGGCGCCCATGTCGTTGGCCTGGCCCGGTCCGTGCCTTCCGGCCGCGCTGGGCCTCCCGCGCCCGGTCCGTGCCTTCCGGCGGTCGCGATCTCGAGCGGCGACGGCCCTGCGAGCAGCACAGGACGACAGCACAGTTCGTTGCGATGTCCCATTTTGACTGGACACATGAATGAAACACGAAAAAAAATTAAATATATAATTAAGATAAGTGGACTGTTTCAGTTTGACTGGACTGCCTGACGGACTTTCTGTTTGACTGGCTTGCTGTTTGACCGACTGACCGACCGACGGACTGACGGACTGATTGACGGACTCACCTTCAATCTAAGCTGGGACTCTTCGTCATTTTCATCCACCCCTCAATCTCCTTTGCAGTACCCTGCAGTAGGGTACCTAACGTGCTGCAAATTTGTCAACAATGTACAGAGAGATGAGCCAGTTTGGTCAATTCACTACATCAATCAACCCTGGGCTCAATGAGGATGCCTTGCCTCTGGGTATGGCGTTGGCAGCCTATGCGAGGAAAGTTCGCAGGAGACAGGCCGGGACCTCTCAACCGACCAGGCCAAGATGAAGAGCGAAAGGATCGTAAGATTCGATGATTCGTGTGAACGAATCTTACGACCTTTTCTGGTAGAGCTGTCCTGCAGTGGACAGTGTACTCGTATGTGTACTTGTATCTGTATTTGTTGTATGATCGTAGCCCAACAAAGGCAGCGTCGTTTTCCAGCCTTGCGCCGCAACACCTCGTCAGTTGTGCATTTTGGTGCTCTCAGGTGCTCACAGGTCTTGGACAGATCTGTTCGGTGGCCAGCTGGCCCGTGGAAGCTGAGAACCTCAGGTGCTGCGAGCAGAGCACAACATATTGCCGTACCGCACAGCCATGTTCTTTCTTTTGTGATGGTGGTTTGCTTCTCTTTTGCAGGGAGAAGGCTTGTGCGAACGCTGGACACCTGTTGGGAGAGAGAACAATCTCCAGGTGTAGGCCTCCAAAGGAGCAAAACAATCAATTGTTTAGTCCTAACACCCTCTATGTGCGCAAGTGACCTGACGTCGGTTTTGCCCTGCGAACTGTACTGCAGGAGTGAGGTATTCGCTGGCGAAGTGATGAAGAGTCCATTGGACTCTCGGAATTACAGGGCCTTGACCCTGCAGAATGGCATGAAGGTGGAAGACAAATGGAGACATCGAGGAAGACCATGGAAGACCTTCCAAGATCCTTTGAGCTGGATGGCTCCAAGAGCACCACATGAGACCTCCCACTTTTGAACTAATTATTTGTTTTTTTCGGCGGGCCAGTAGCATGTGTCACCTGCCAAACATTTCATGCTTGGTTTCTACCGTCAGTTCCCCCCCAAAAACTACTGTCAGTGACGCCTGCAGGTCTTGCTGGCTTCCGACCCGGAGGCCATCAGTGCCGCTTGCGCCCTCTCGGTGCATCTGGGATTCTACTCAGATCCCGAAGACCTGCCAGGCTTGGCGCATTTCTGCGAGCCGCTGGGATGGAGTCGAGTAAGACATCAAAGTAAGACTGAATCAAAGAGACGGAAGGGGACCAAAACTGATGGGGATCTGGGATTTACTTTCAGAGTTGTTCGATTATTTCTTGAGAATCCATTTGTCTCTGCAGGTATTTTTCCCAGTTCTCAGAATTGGATGGTTTGGTTGACCTGAAAAACGTGAAAAAGCCTTTAAGCCTTATGGTGCTGGTTGAAGAGTCAGAATATGTTGGAGTTGGTGAAACGGTGTTGGTTGGAGAATGGGTGAAACGGCGGTGCATGCCGACACGGGCATTCCATTCACCGATCCTGGCAGTCAACAGCACTGCAGACGCACTGGGACGGTCTAGTTTTGGCAAGAAACTTGAAGGCTGACAAGGGGAAGCAAGAAAGCGTGAACTTAGATTCATTTACTCCCCTGCAGATTAACATGGAACCCCAAAACCACTGGGTTGCAGGGGAAGATGGTCTTGTATACGGGCTAATTCTTAAGTTCCATGTTAGTTTGCGGGGGGGTAGACTTTAGGAACGCGGACGGCCAAGGCAGACAGGAAGATCCGTATTCACCATTGTCATGTCATGCTGTCGTATAGCAAGAAATATGCAAACTTCATGAGAAGGATCCACTGAATGTTGGTTAGCCCCCAATATCAGCAACCATTGTGGGGTCAGTTGTGGGAGACCGACATGCATTGTATTATTCGAGTAGATGTTTCGCCACACCCGGATGGACTCCTGCCAGTCGTGATCGCGGTCTACTGGCCACAGCACGGACACCAAGGCACATGCTTTTTCTGGGCACCAAAGAGTACCCAGAGGAGAACTCCTTCGAGAAGTTTCTCACTGCCAATTCTGGCAGCCAAAACGCCTTTACAACGGAAACATGGATGGATGGTGGGCAATGATGGTTTCAACTGGCTAGAAAGAGAGTCCAGGTTGATGAATCTAACAGTTTCGTAGTCAGTTCTTTTTTCTGCGCCACCACCGCACCTGCTTTGGGTTTTGGACGCCTTTTGTGTTTGTCCCAAATCCTTGCTGACAGCGGCATGCCCAAGGAATCCGCGACCACCTACTTCTTTGATGTGTCACCAGGTGCCTCATTTGCAGCTCCAGTCACAACGAGGGCTACGCAGTGCCTACGGTGCATTCTACTGTGATTAAACCTTCTGAGGCTGCAAACCCAACACCCGCCACAACTTGGTCTTCAAAATGGAATGTGAAGCCAAGTGAAGCCCAACAGCATTTCTTGACCCCCCCCCAGTTGTATAACAGACAGCCTTTGCTCACAGACAGCTCGTTTGAAGTCCGACCTCCAACGACCTGGTCAGCGTCGTTTCAGGCGCCCTGCAGGAGTCTCTGAAGCGTTTCAGCAGCTTCTTCCGGGAGCCGCTCTTCACAGCCTCGGGAATCGAACGAGAGGCGCACGCACGCCGGTTCCACGCCAAGCGAAGGTCGCTTCCACGTCTCGGGACGCGAAGGGCGCCTCCACTCTCCGTGCGATGGATTTGAATTGGCAAATGGTGAACCGCCTGGAATTCACATGGTGGAAGTGGAGTTCACCAGCTGTTTGGTTCGTGGAGAAAAGAAAGGCCATGAAACCACTACCAGTTCCAGGGAGTGTAACAAGGTTTGTTTTTCCTGTCTATCCCCTACGTCCTGGACAGGTCTATCTAGTGGAAGAACGGATGAAGGATAAAAAGAGCAAGCCGCAAGCCGTTGGACATCGTAGAACACGATCGACTGATGGCCTGTCTGGCAAGGTGAGTGCGATCGACTCGGAATTTGCCAAGAACCGTGAGAACGCCTGCTGGAGGCATTTGCAACGCAGCTTTCATATGACCTGAAAAATCTCACATGTTTCTCAGCCGGAAAACAGCCCGGACATATTCCAAGGATTTACAGTCCGGTACTTGTACGCATGGTATTTTCGGTTCAAGACCCGAAGACTGTCGGACGCGACTCTCCCGACGGGTCCCGGACGCTTAGGACGGCTTCCGCTTGGCGCAGCTGCTGAAGAGCACGGCGGCTGAAGGGCACCCAGAGAGACATTTCGGCTGTGGCAATCGAGAGACGCTGCTGTCGAAAGGCAAGGTGTTGGCGAACTCGGCCATTTTCAACAAGCCGTCGAAAGAGATCAACCATGGCAGATGCGTAGAGAAAGGGAGTCTTCTGACAAGTCTATCCGAGTCTATTATATCCATTTCCTGGTTCTGTTCATGATGTTCTTTGTGACTTCACAAGGGGTGATTTGTATGCATCAACCTCGAGGCATGATGCTGGAAACAGAGAGCGCCAATGTTTGCAGCAGAGACTGACAGGTTCATATTCAATCTGCAGAATATAAAAGAGGGTGCACATTTCGAAATTTATATGATTTAAGAATTTTCAACATTTGGTATATTTTCCACATTCAATGTCTGCAGTATTCAACTTTGGTAAACACCTCGCCTGTAGACTGTGCCATAGTGCCTTTAAGTTGCCTCTGGGACACTTTTTGTGCTGCGAGGCCAAGAGGAGTTGAGGAATCAGTTGCTGAGATACTTTCAGGCAGGAGTCCAGTGTAGTGATTGCTTGTAAAGCTCTTGAACATTCTCAGGTGTTTCTTGTTTTATGCAAGTATGGGCGAGTTGGATATCTTTGTCGTTATTGCCTTTGCGGTTGAAGTGCATGTTTGGACTAGGTTGAAACATCGTTTACCGTTTACCCATGCTTGCCCTGGTCATCATCCCACCGTCTAGATTTCTACCATGGGCCAAGGCGTTCTTGCCATTCATGTCCATTCCCGAACCCTGGCTTGTTCACTAACACCCCTTTGGCAATGCCGTCACTCCAGGGCTATGACCCGAGCCTCATGGCGCTTTGTGTGGTGGGCAAGGCCAAAGACAGTGGTTCTCGAGTGATTCAATTTCTGGTCGAAATGGTGCCAAGGCACTGAAATCATAGCTCGAACGGATAACCGCAAAAGATAAAATACATGAGCTGTGTCATGCTGTGTCGCTGATTTTGATACTATCCACACTTCACATGGATGCCTTTGATGCCAACAATTTGCTACATTCCCTGTGACCATATCGCAGAAACATGAGCATATCGAGGGTAGCTTCATATTTTGTTTGGGAAATTCCTTCATCTCATGCTTTGGAGGAACCTTTGAACGTCCTCCAATCCACGGTGGAACAATACCTGGGTGCTGTGCCCCGGCGGAGTGACGCGCCACGGCCGCGCTGGGCGGTGGCGCCTTACCCGCCCGAAAACCCGGCCAAGATCTTGGAGGCGGTGCCGGTGAACGAGCTACGCACCTTGGGCCGAATCTGAACAAGACAATGACGCACATACTTCCAGGCTCTTCCAGGTAACCAGTGCTCTGAGGCTCAGTTCTCTTGGAATGGACCTTTGACTTTGAGAACTTCGCTGCACGGAAAGAGTCACTCGCTGGACAAGACATTGCAGCAGTTTCCTAAGGGTTTACGGAAACGGGTGCTGTTGACAACAAACGCTCCAAAAAGTCATTTGTTGGTAGGAGAGGCTTTTGATTGAAGACCTGCCTTATGACTGCAAATGACTGCAAAGTTGAGCTCTTTTTTTCACCGTTAGCATGGTGCTTTCCTGAAGAAAGTGGATTCAGACACGAAAAAAACATGTTCGGCTGTTGATCACCCATCCGCCTGTTGAGACCCTGTCGTGGCTGGGGTCGCAGGTTCCTCTTAGCGAAGGCGCAGGACTACTTGGCACAGATCTTGGGACATGAGGGTCCTGGATCCATGCACAGCATCCTGAAAGGCTGGGAAGACTAAGGGCACCACAAAGAGGTCAAGATCCTTTTGAACTTCGAATGATCCTGAAAAGCATTGGAATACAGAGAGAGGGTGAAGCGACATATCATGCTGCTATTTAGTATGGTTATAGTTATAATATAGCAGGTTATAGCGTACATTGAGGTAACAATTCGACCAACTCTGAAGCTTCATGATCATTTAGCCCACCAATCACTTCCACTTGGACACAATATCCGACCAGCTTGGACAGAGTCTCAGCAACTTTCAGAACTGCCAGGCAAAGGTTGGGTGAATCGTACCACGGCGGGGGTGAGCTTCGACCAAGACGACTTTGCCATTTTCCGTCTCTCCTTCGATGTCTCTGAGGAGCTGAGGGAACAATGATTTTTTGTTCGGTTCGTTGCATAAAGACAACGCATTGGTAGTGGGTTGCATCATTTTCTTGTTGAGTTCTTGATGTTTAACGCCTTGGGCCTTTGCACTCCTCGTCTCGTTGGTCGTCGTCGTTGTTGACATTTCGCCTCGTGGCGTCACTCGAAATAGTTCGACGATCAAAGATGAAGCGTGCTTCCACTCCCGAAACTAACGAACCTGAAAAGGGCACTCTGAAAGACTGTTTTCCTCTAAAACCAATTGTTTTCAGGGTCCATGCTAGTTTTCAGGAGGGGACATGGTTTGGCCTTGACTATGGCTCTAGTGAAGACCCTTTCAACTTCCTTGAAACCTCAGGAGGGCCTGCGCCAGAAGAACGCCATCTTCGGCGCCGTCTTCAGCGTCCTCAATGCACTACGGCAGGGCAGCCCTCTTCAGGCAGTGCCGGACTACACCATCCAGGCATCGGGTGGAGGAACAGACAGGATTAAGACCTTCATCTACGTTTAAATTCTAATTAATTGGATTCTAATTGTTTCAAATAGCTTCTTGTTCCTAGTAGTAAGGCACTTGTTACTAGTAGCGATGCACTTGTTACTAGTAGCTTATTGTTTCTAATAGATATATTGTTTCTAATAGCTTCTTGTTCCTAGTAGTAAGGCACTTGTTACTAGAAGCAATGCACTTGTTACTAGTAGCTTATTGTTTCTAATTTATATATTGTTTCTAATAGCTTCTTGTTCCTAGGCACTTGTCACTAGAAGCGATGCACTTGTTACTAGTAGCTTATTGTTTCTAATTTATATAGTGTTTCTAATAGCTTCTTGTTCCTAGTAGTAAGGCACTTGTTACTAGAAGCGATGCACTTGTTACTAGTAGCTTATTGTTTCTATTTTATATATTGTTTCTGATAGCTTCTTGTTACTACTAGTAAGGTTCTTGTTACTAGTGGCGATGCACTTGTTACTAGTAGCTTATTGTTTCTATTTTATATATTGTTTCAAATAGCTTCTTGTTACTACTAGTAAGGCACTTGTTTCTAGTAGCGATGCACTTGTTACTAGTAGCTTATTGTTTCTAATTTATATATTGTTTCTAATAGCTTCTTGTTACTACTAGTAAGGCACTTGTTACTAGAAGCGATGTACTTGTTACTAGTAGCTTATTGTTTCTAATTTATATATTGTTTCTAATAGCTTCTTGTTACTACTAGTAAGTCACTTGTTACTAGTAGCGATGCACTTGTTACTAGTAGCTTATGGTTTCTATTTTTTATATTGTTTCTAATAGCGTCTTGTTCCTACTAGTAAAAGCACTTGTTACCAGTAGCGATGCACTTGTTACTAGTAGCTTATTGTTTCTAATTTTATTGTTTCTAATAGCTTCTTGTTACTACTAGTAAGGCACTTGTTACTAGTAGCGATGCACTTGTTACTAGTAGCCTAGTAGCTTATTGTTTTT